CCTACCTCTCACGCGTCATGAGACTACTCGTCCGCAATAAAATCTTTGCTGCAAATCATGACTCCAAGGGTGGAGAAACCCTCTACGGGCTGACCCCCTCATCAAGATGGCTTTTACGTGACTCTGAGCTAAGTCTTGCACCAATGATATTAATGGAGAATCATCCATGGCTAATGGCTCCCTGGCACTGTTTTAGCCAGTGTGTGAAAGAAGGTGGTATCGCCTTTAAGGTGGCTCATGGCAAAGAGATTTGGGACTTTGCGTTACAGAATCCTGAATTTAACAAGCTCTTCAACGATGGTATGGCATGTACGACCAAGATCATTTCCAGGGCGATTATATCAGGATACAAAGATGGGTTTAGTAGCATTGGATCGTTGGTGGATGTAGGAGGTGGAATCGGAGAAATGTTATCTGAAATTGTGAAATCGTATCCACATATTAAAGGCATCAACTTTGATTTGCCTCATGTCATCGCCACAGCACCCAAGTATGATGGAATCTCTCATGTTGAAGGTGATATGTTTAAAGCTGCTCCTCAAGCTGATGCTGTTATAATGAAGGTAATTAATTAATCGCTTTGCTATATAAATGTTATTATATTTGCGTTACACATATATACTGCAGACTATGGTGATGCTATATAAATGTTATTATATTAGCCGAACTTGTACAATGTTGCATGGTTTCCTCACACATAATTTTACATAAAATACTCGGTTTAATTTACTGTTGATTAATTGGTAAAATTTTCTCTACAGTGGATATTGCATGACTGGAGCGATGAAGACTGTGTGAAGATTTTAAGAAATTGTAAAGAAGCAATTCCAGAAAAAACAGGAAAGGTTATAATAGTTGACGTTGTTTTACGACCTGATGGGAATGGAATTTTTGATGAGACGGGATTGGTATTCGATCTACTGATGCTTGCACATACCACTGGCGGAAGGGAAAGGACTGAACAAGAATGGAAGAAATTATTGGAGGAAGGAGGATTCCCTCGCTACAATATCATTAACATTCCGGCTTTCCCATTCATTATTGAGGCCTTTCCTCAGTAATTGCATTAATGTCAGTTTAAAATATTATTTTTAGGTTTTGGAGCGGGTTTCTCTTAATTTTTAGTTTTCTACGTCGTTGCGTGATCATACAATAAAAAATCGAATGACCCAAAGACCAAATGTGTCATGTCCTATTCCTAGCATTGAAGGATGAATACAAGCCCCAGCCTCCACGTAGTAAATATAAAAGGAGCAATGTTAAGCTATATTTTTAATTTTATTATGGGCGAACGACAAGTTCTCACCTGAAAAGTTTCCAAACGACATAGTCTCACTCATCCATCCAATTTCACCGTTAATTTCTACTGCAGAAGAACATAATGGTAAATTCAGTTTATTTCGATTATTTATTTTCTTTTAAAAATTTTGGTAACCTAACAAGATGCTTCACTAATCTTCCAACATCATTTGATGAGTGCTTTCTCAATTGATTCACAATCCTCTTGATATTAGTCTCCAGTAATTCAACTCAAATTATCATCAAGTTTTGAACTTCAATCACTGAACAAACAAGAACAAAAACCAAAATCTTCCCATAAAAAAATTAACTTTAAAGCTTTGAATGTTATATCCATGTCTGCCAAACTTTGAAGCAGATCAATCAGAGAATCTTCAAACTGAAAATAAAAAACAAAACTAAACTCGTTTCATAAAAACAAAAACTTGAAATGAAGAAAAAAACCAGGTCAAGATCTTCGAGATGTTCTTTAATTTCAAGAATTCTTTTTTGTTTATCATCCAACAAACTGCCATAAGGATCCACATCATCATCATCATCACCATGATCATGATCGCCAACTGAACGAGGTGTGTAAGGTGACACGTGGCCTTTATTCAAGCCTTCATGTTCAATCTCCTTCTCAATCTTAATGTCAACTCAATTAATCCGATTATCTCCCCCACCACCGAAGTCACAGTTTCAACACCGCTTGGAAATACACGTGGTCGCTTAGTCACCTCTTCTCGTGAGCAAAACCCAACCCCCACACACCACCAAACTTCAATTCCTTCTCAACAAAATCACCACAACACACAACAATCATCAATCAAGAAAAATCATACCAAAAAAGCAATCAAACAATCAAATCTTCCCTCGGTCAACTTGGCTTTGACTTAGTTTGGTCGACAAATGAAGCTTCTTGACCGGACAGATCAAGCTGACATGTGTCTCTTGTGTCGTGCCTTTGACCAACGCAAGAGCCTCAGGTGTCAGCTAGATCTGGCCAGCAGCAGCCACCACAAGAGAGAAAGAAAAGATAGGAAGAGAAGAAAAAGGAAAGGGGAGAGGAGAGAAAAAGAAGCAAAAAAAGAAAAGAGAAGGGGAAGAGAGAAAGTGGCATGGTGCGATTGCGAGAGGAAAGCGAAAAAAAAAAAGAAAAGGAAAATGACATGATTATCCTTTAATTGTATTTTAAAATTACCATTCTATCATTTTGCATTTGAAATTAATAGAGTAATTGTATGGATGGGTGGAAACTATCGTTTTGAAACCTTTTGGTTGGAAACTTCTTGTTAGGCCAAACCTTGGGTGCGAATTTGTCGTTAACCTTTTTATTATTGTCAAAAATTAAACTTATAGTTTCAAATTAAAACTCACCATTCTCCTAACCTATATAACATAGCTATTTTGGATTCAGCTCACGTCGAATATATATAACTTAAATTTAAAATTTCATTAATTTTTGGAGTAATGCTATACTCACAACCTTTTCTCATAAACTTTCTCTCACAACTTCAACGTGACAGCTCGCAATTGATCAACCCCAATTCATCAGGTGAGACTCAAGTGAGACCCATTACGAACTGATCAATTGCAAGCTGCCATGTCGAAGTTGTGAAAAGAGATTTTGGGTGTAGCATTTTCCTAATTTTAGTTGTCCCAATTTGCATGATTACCACTGTAACCGCGCCAATTGAAATTAATGTAATTACTTGCATTAGGTCGCAATAAATGAGAGACACCGAAATATAATACTCCCACCTCTCATAATTTTTTTTTTTAAAATATCACTAATACATCCCATGATTCAATTTTTTTAATGACGGTAACAGGATACAGGGATGGGTTACGTATCTTATTGTAAGATTGCCGATCTAATAATCGGATTGGACATATTAAATTTGTTTTTTTTGTTTTATTGAATTATTGAGTCAGTTTCATCAGATTTTGCTGATACGATCCTGAATTATTACCACACACACAGTGTCCTTATATTTTTTATTGCAACAAATAATCACTTCAATGATATCACCGACATGAGAATTAACCATGTGATGCAGATGTAAGCTTTAAATTTTAAACACGAGTTTTAATTATCACAATTTAATGCAATTTCAAGGATCAAATGAAGACAGTTTTAGAGGGAGAATTATAAATTTAAATGAAACAAAGAACAAGAAAATTTACTTTGAAAATTAGAAATCTTAAAAATACAATTTTGAGATTTAAATAATACCATCTAATTAAAAATGATGTGAATTGATATGGTGGTACCACTCATTCTTGTTCCCTAAGTTTATTAAAATTAAACTTAACACATGTTTTTAATTTTAAAAATATTAATATATGTACGTGTATTTTCATATGGGTTTCGCCTACCTATTTATGAGTGACCAATCCATTTATCTAACCAATTGTGTGTGTGTGGAAATTGATGAGGAAAGTGTTTCTAAATGTATTAATAATATGATAATGTGGTAACTGATGCACATCCTTATAAAAACATCACCTAAGATAAGAATTGAGTGTACAAGTTTGAAATATATAACATTATTATTATGAAATGTTGCATGAAAATTTAATTTTTCGAATTAAATTGTGAGTATAATAGACGGGCATGAAGTATATACTTTTAGTACAATTTTTTTAATTAACTTATTCCTGTGTTAATACTGCAACAAGCTAATTAATGAATTTATAATAAAACTTGCTTGATTAATAGAAATCTTTAGTAAATATAGAAACGTTTTACTGAATTGCGTTTTCACTGATGTTTTTCTCATTAAATTACATGAAATCGGCTTAAGATCTCATATCACATCCTACTTCGCACATTTTTCCAAAATTATACATAAATCTCTTCCCCTTCTTTTCTTCATGCTATCTAAATTTCACTATAGAGCTCGGAGCAGAGGAAAAATGAAAGCAATAGAAACGTCTGATGCATCACTAGAGGCCAAGCTGAAATATGGCAACACATGTTCAGCTTTGCAGACTCGATGGCCTTAAAGTGTGCAGTGAACTCCGCATAGCTGACATTATTAACTCACACGGCGGCTCTATCACCTTGTCTCAAATAGCTTCGTCCATTGGTCAACCTCCCAAATATCTCCTACCCTCACGCGTCATGAGACTACTCGTCCGCAATAAAATCTTTGCTGCAAATCATGACTCCAGGGTGGAGAACCCCTCTACGGGCTGACCCCCTCATCAAGATGGCTTTTACGTGACTCTGAGCAAGTCTTGCACCAATGATATTAATGGAGAAATCATCCATGGCTAATGGCTCCCTGGCACTGTTTTAGCCAGTGTGTGAAAGAAGGTGGTATCGCCTTTAAGGTGCCTCATGGCAAAGAGATTTGGGACTTTGCGTTACAGAATCCTGAATTTAACAAGCTCTTCAACGATGGTATGGCATGTACGACCAAGATCATTTCCAGGGCGATTATCAGGATCAAGATGGGTTTAGTAGCATTGGATCGTTGGTGGATGTAGGAGGTGGAATCGGAGAAATGTTATCTGAAATTGTGAAATCGTATCCACATATTAAAGGCATCAACTTTGATTTGCCTCATGTCATCGCCAGCACCCAAGTATGATGATCTCTCATGTTGAAGGTGATATGTTTAAAGCTGCTCCTCAAGCTGATGCTGTTATATAAAGGTATTAATTAATCGCTTTGCTATATAAATGTTATTATATTTGCGTATGTCACAATAATGCATGAGATTAAAAAAGGTATCCAATTGTTTTCTAAAGAATTATAAATTTAAAACTGATTTTAACTTCTCTTATTAGGGGTTGCGGTTTTATTTCTCTTGAAAACTTACTGTTTTTCGCCAGGACTTATCCGGTATGTCTCCTACTCTGTTGTATGGCTACTGTAAGAAATTATATAATTAGTATTTTTTCTTTCCTTTTCATTTTTGCTGAACTCTTGGTATACTATTCTGTTTCTTTTCAGCTGTATGGATGTCTAAATTTTTGCAGAAATGAGTTATCCTTGATACTAATTGTATAAACATTCAAATGAAGGCATCTTTTCGTAGGTTGTTGTTCAAGCAAGATGGGAATCGAGCAACTTGGGAATACCCATTTGCTGTTGCTGGCATTAATGTGTCATTTATGTTAATTCAGATGTTGGATTTATTCTCAGGTTTGTTAACAAATTCTTTAGTGTCTGGTATCACATTCAGTTGTTTGGCCTTTCAGAGTCTGAAAAGTAAGAAGATTCACTGGCAAAGGTGTTTGGTTATTAAATCAAATTGTTTTGTCAAAAGTGGACATGATCATACCATTTCATCTATAAATTTGAGTTTTTTCCATTTTTTCCTTAGAACTCCTCGTTTGCTGAAATTATTTTTTCAATTTGATAAAAAATCTTTCTTTATTTTCTCTTTGCTGCCATCTAAACTTGTTAACACCTCACATAATGCACTTGTTTATGTAAAACTCAAATGTTTTGATTTAGCAGGCTGCCCAAATATTTTGTAATCTTTTTCTCATAGATATTATTTCTTTGAGGCCTGCTATTATTAGTACTGTCAACGATAGCAGCACCCAGAACAGCAGAAAAGTTTTGAATGTCTTGCTTCCTTTGGACCAATAGTTATCAAGTTTGAATATGAAATCCTTCATTTTATACATAAAATCTGTAGGGAAAAAAGTTTAATTGTTTTCTATCTTTCTTTTTATGTTTTTTTTTTGCAGATAAACCAAGATGTCTTCCAGGAATCAATTTTATTAGAATATTAGGAGGTAAAAGGATTTCAACTCCAAATACTTTATGCTCAAGTATCATAGTATTTCTTAAACTGCTTATGACTTTCCAATTTACAAGTTCTTTAGCTCATGATTTGAATGTTCTCAATTGCAGAAGACGAACAAGCCTTTGATGTATTATACTGTATAGCTTTTGAAATGATGGATGCTCAGTGGCTGGCAATGCATGCTTCCTATATGGAGTTTAATGTATTTTCTCTCTCTCTCTCTCTCTCACAAGCACACACTTATGGAAGATATTTGAATATCTCAATACTGCGAGTATACTTGTTATTTTGGATACTACATTTGCTGATAATATGTTACTTGTAGCTACTGAACCTTTTCTTTCATTTTACATGTTAATAATACTATTTGATGGCATTATATATAGGACTAGGTGATACCGAGTTCAAATATGCTCCTGATGTTAAATCAGTTAGTGTTTTCTTTATGTGTCCTATACTATTTTCCATTCCTGCAGGAGGTTATAAAAGTAACCCGGAGGCAATTGGAGAGAGAACTTTCTTTGGAAGATGTTCATCGGATACAAGATTTACCGGCATACAACCTGTTATACCAGTAACCTTTTCTTCCGCAACTCTTCAAACCCACAAAAAGTTACCATGGACAGTTTGCAATGAATCTAAATATTTTGATCCAAAGACCTATCTGGGAAGAACTCCTCTGGGACACCATGTTTCTGAGGTTTTTACCACTGATATTTGTACAGCACATGGACCCTGCTCAAGATAACATAGTTTTGTGGATCAATTTGGCAGTGAACCCTGAAAAGTCTAGACCGACTGCAGCTAAATTTTTCAGATTGATATAGTGCTTCTAATCTATTATCAAAGAATTTTGGCGTTTATGTGGCTACCAGTGGGAACTAGAAGACAATGTAAAAGATCAATTGATAGTCACCCATTTCGGGTTGCAGTTTCCAGGTAATGACAATTAGGATTTCTGTCATTACAATTTTTTAAGACAAATTCTGCAGAAAGATTAGATGATTCAGATTATGCAGTGGAGATCTTAGTCAATATAATGCTTAGATTAAAACGGGAGCAAATGTGTTATATATCCATCAAACATGAATTTGTATTTTGTATTTTGCGGCTTTTCTTGATAGCTGGTAATTTAAAAGAGTGTCCTCATAATCGTAACTACCACTCAATTATCATTATTCCAAATTTTAATCTCATATATATTTCAATTTTCAAAACTTTTATTAGGTACTGTAATCCCATGTGGATTTCTATTTGTTAAAGGTGATATTGCTTTCAAGTGGCCGTGGGAATAGGTTAGGCCTTTAAAAGATCATTAACACCACATGTTTTTACACAAATTCATTGATAACATCAAGAACACCGCAACAAATTCATGGACAACATTGCTTGTGCGATCAGAATAGGAACAAGTGTGGGGGACGGTAACAGGATACAGGGATGGGTTACGTATCATTATTGTAAGATTGCCGAATCTAATAATCGGATTGGACATATTAAATTTGTTTTTTTTGTTTTATTGAATTATTGAAGTCAGTTTCATCAGATTTTGCTGATACGATTCCTGAATTATTAGCCACTACACACAGTATCCTTATATTTTTTTATTGCAACAAATAATCACTTCAATGATATCATCCGACATGAAGAATTAACCATGTGAAGCAGGATGTAAGCAATTTAAATTTTAAACACGAGTTTTAATTATCAACAATTTATATGCAATTTCAAGGATCAAATGAAGACAGTTATTAGAGGGAGAATTATAAATTTAAATGAAAAACAAAGAACAAGAAAATTTACTTATGAAAATTAGAAATCTTAAAAATAAAATTTTGAGATTTAAATAATACCATCTAATTAAAAATGATGTGAATTATGATAGGGTGGTACCACTCATTCTTTGTATCCCCTAAGTTTATTAAAATTAAACTTCACACTTGTTTATAATTTTAAAAATAATTAATATATGTATATGTATTTTTATATGGGTTCTGTCTATCTATTTATGAGCTGACCAACTCATTTATGAGCTAACCAATTTTGTATGTGTGTGGAAATTGACGAGGAAAGTGATTTCTAAAATGTATTTTTATGTGGGCTTTGCTCTACCTATTTATGAACTGATGTGTGTGTGTGTGTGTGTGTGTGTGTGTGTGTGTAAAAATTGATAAGGAAAGTGATTTCTAAAATGTATTTTGATATGGGTTTCGTCCACTCATTTATAAGCTAATCATTTACGAGCTTGACATGTGGAGGGCTGTGAAATTGAGTTTTGCGCTTAACATTGCTGATTTTCATAATGATAATAAGTCAAACTGTTTGTGGACAACTTTTTTTCTGCAGTATAATTACAAGATTAATGATATGATGATGTGGTAACTGATGCACATCCTTATAAAAACATCACCTAAGATATAGAATTGAGTGTACAAGTTTGAAATATATAACATTATTTATTATAAAAATATGCTGCATGAAAATTTAATTTTTCAAATTTAAATTGAGTATAATTAGACGGGCATGAAGTATATACTTTTAGTACAAATTTTTTTAATTAACTTATTCCTGTGTTAGTACTGCAACAAGCTAATTAATGAATTTATAAATAGAAACTTGCTTGATTAATAAGATAAATCTTTAGTGAAATATAGAAACGGTTTTACTGAATTGCGTTATCACTGATTGTTTCTCATTAAATTACGATGAAATCGGCTTATAGATCTCATATCACATCCTACTTCAGCACATTTTTCCAAAATTATACATAAATCTCTTCCGCTTCTCTTTCTTCATGCTATAATAAATTTCATCTATAGAGCTCGGAGCAGAGGAAAAATGAAAGCAATAGAAACGTCTGATGCATCACTAAGAGGCCAAGCTGAAATATGGCAACACATGTTCAGCTTTGCAGACTCGATGGCCTTAAAGTGTGCAGTTGAACTCCGCATAGCTGACATTATTAACTCACACGGCGGCTCTATCACCTTGTCCCAAATAGCTTCGTCCATTGGATCATCCTCCCCAAATATCTCCTACCTCTCACGCGTCATGAGACTACTCGTCCGCAGAAAAATCTTTGCTGCAAATCATGACTCCAGGGGTGGAGAAACCCTCTACGGGTTGACCCACTCATCAAGATGGCTTTTACGTGACTCTGAGCTAAGTCTTGCACCAATGATATTAATGGAGAATCATCCATGGCTAATGGCTCCCTGGCACTGTTTTAGCCAGTGTGTGAAAGAAGGTGGTATCGCCTTTAAGGTGGCTCATGGCAAAGAGATTTGGGACTTTGCGTTACAGAATCCTGAATTTAACAAGCTCTTCAACGATGGTATGGCATGTACGACCAAGATCATTTCCAGGGCGATTATATCAGGATACAAAGATGGGTTTAGTAGCATTGGATCGTTGGTGGATGTAGGAGGTGGAATCGGAGAAATGTTATCTGAAATTGTGAAATCGTATCCACATATTAAAGGCATCAACTTTGATTTGCCTCATGTCATCGCCACAGCACCCAAGTATGATGGAATCTCTCATGTTGAAGGTGATATGTTTAAAGCTGCTCCTCAAGCTGATGCTGTTATAATGAAGGTAATTAATTAATCGCTTTGCTATATAAATGTTATTATATTTGCGTTACACATATATACTGCAGACTATGGTGATGCTATATAAATGTTATTATATTAGCCGAACTTGTACAATGTTGCATGGTTTCCTCACACATAATTTTACATAAAATACTCGGTTTAATTTACTGTTGATTAATTGGTAAAATTTTCTCTACAGTGGATATTGCATGACTGGAGCGATGAAGACTGTGTGAAGATTTTAAGAAATTGTAAAGAAGCAATTCCAGAAAAAACAGGAAAGGTTATAATAGTTGACGTTGTTTTACGACCTGATGGGAGTGGAATTTTTGATGAGACGGGATTGGTATTCGATCTACTGATGCTTGCACATACCACTGGCGGAAGGGAAAGGACTGAACAAGAATGGAAGAAATTATTGGAGGAAGGAGGATTCCCTCGCTACAATATCATTAACATTCCGGCTTTCCCATTCATTATTGAGGCCTTTCCTCAGTAATTGCATTAATGTCAGTTTAAAATATTATTTTTAGGTTTTGAAGTGGGCTTCTCTTAATTTTTAGTTTTCTACGTCGTTGCGTGATCATACAATAAAAAATCGAATGACCCAAAGACCAAATGTGTCATGTCCTATTTCTAGCATTGAAGGATGAATACAAGCCGCAGCCTCCACGTAGTAAATATAAAAGGACCAATGTTAAGCTATATTTTTAATTTTATTATGGGCGAACGACAATTTCTCACCTGAAAAGTTTCAAAATGACATAGTCTCACTCATCCATCCAATTTCACCGTTAATTTCAACTGCAGAAGAATATAATGGTAAATTCAGTTTATTTCGATTTTTTACCTAACAAGATGCTTCACTAATCTTCTGACATCATTTGATGAGTGCTTTCTCAATTGATTCACAATCCTCCCGATCTTAGTCTCCAGTAATTACAACTCAAATTATCATCAAGTTTTGAACTTTAATCACTGAACAAACAAGAACAAAAACCAAAATCTTCCCATAAAAAAATTAACTTTAAAGCTTTGAATGTTATATCCATGTCTGCCAAACTTTGAAGCAGATCAATTAGAGAATCTTCAAACTAAAAATCAAAAACAAAACCAAACTCGTTTCATAAAAATAAAAACTTGAAATGAAGAAAATTTTTTTTTAAAGAAACCAGATCAAGATCTTCGAGATGTTCTTTAATTTCAAGAATTCTTTTTTGTTCATCATCCAACAAACTGCCATAAGGATCCACATCATCATCATCATCATCATCATCATGATCATGATCATGACCACCAACTAAATGAGGCGTCTAGGGTGACACGTGGCCTTTATTCTAGCCTTCATGTTCAATCTCCTTCCCAATCTTAATGTCAACTCAATTAATCCGATTATCTCCCCCACCACCGAAGTCACAGTTTCAACACCGCCTAGAAATACACGTGGTCGCTTAGTCACCTCTTCCCGTGAGCAAAACCCAACCCCCACACACCACCAAACTTAAATTCCTTCTCAACAAAATCACCACAGCACACAACAATCATCAATCAAGAAAAATCATACCAAAAAAGCAATCAAACAATCAAATCTTCTCCCGGTCAACTTGGATTTGACTCAGTTTGGTCGACATATGAAGCTTCTTGACCGGACAGATCAAGCCGACATGTGTCTCTTGTGTCGCGCCTTTGACCAACGCAAGGGCCTCAGGTGTCGGCTAGATCTGGCCAGCAGCAGCCACCGCAAGAGAGAAAGAAAAGATAAGAAGAGAAGAAAAAGGAAAGGGAAGAGAAGAGAAGAGAGAAAAAGAAGCAAGAAAAGAAAAGAGAAGGGGAAGAGACAAAGCGGTTTGGTGCGATTGCGAGAGGAAAGCGAAAAAAAAAAAGAAAAGGAAAATGATATAATTATCCTTTAATTGTATTTTAAAATTACCACTATATCCTTCTGCATTTGAAATTAATGGAGTAATTGTATGGATGGGTGGGAACTGTCGTTTTGAAACTTTTCTGTTGGAAACTTCTTGTTAGGCCAAACCTTGGGTGCGAATTTGTCGTTCACCCTTTTATTATTATCAAAAATTAAACTTATAGTTTCAAATTAAAACTCACCATTCACCTAACCTATATAACATAGCTGTTTTGGATTCAGCTCACGCCGAATATATATAACTTAAATTTAAAATTTCATTAATTTTTGAAGTAATGCTACACTCACAAGTCACAACATTTTCTCACAACTTCGACGTGGCAGTTTGTAATTGATCAACCCTAATTCATCAGATGGGACCCAGGTGAGACTCATTACGAGCTGACCAATTGCGAGCTGTCATGTTGGAGTTGTTAGAGAAAATTTGTGAGAAGAGACTGTGGGTGTAACATTTTCCTAATCTTAGTTGTCTCAATTTGCATGATTACCACTGTAACCGTGCCAATTGAAATTAACGTAATTACTTGAGATACCGAAATATAATACTCCCACCTCTCATAATTTTTTTTTTTTTTTTTAAATATCACTAATACATCCCATGATTCAATTTTTTTTAATGTTAGGATCAAATTTTGTTTTTTGTTTTTTTTTTACTTTACTCCATCTTTAGGGTTTATTGTGCAATGCCCTCATTGCGAAACTGCATCATGAAACTCCTAAATCTTGCTTTTAAATTGCCAGAGCGCATGTTCGGGTTTCCAACTAGTTTCACAATCCGCTAAACCCTTTCATTTCACTACATACTCAAACATTAATTCTCTAACTTCTCAAACATCTTATAACCCTTTTTTTTTTTTTTATAATACATACATACATACATACATACATATAAACATAGTCAGGATTTGTAGCGAGTGGGTCCAAAACATCTAAGTTAAAAAATTTACAATAAAAAATTTATTAAAATCTCAAATCTTATAACTTAGGCTTTTCAAAATTTAGGAATTTAATCTTCCAATTTCAAACCCATTTTATTAAACTCAACAAAAACCTATTCATGATCTTTCATAAATTAAAATAGCAACAAAAAAAAAAAAAAAAAAAGCCTAAAATCTTATAAATTAGGTTTTTTTAAAAATTTATACTAATCCAATAAAATTCAACTCATAAACTAATGAAAACTCATCAAATCCAACTCTAAATATCAAGCAATTACAATATATCAAAATTAATTTAATAACTAACAAAAATTTATTGAACCCAATTTAAAACAACAATTAATTAACACATACTTCAACATAAACAAGATTAAGTTGAAACTTACATCAAAATCTAGGAATTTATTTTTTCAATTTTAAACTTGTTAGGGCCAAAAATCGTCTTGAGTCTGACGAGGCCCACTAACGAAATAAACACGTCACGGCCCAAGGCCTTAGCCCAATCCCGATTGGGCTTACACTTAAAATCACCTTGTGAACTACACACTCTATGAGTTGGGCTATCCTATAAGTTAAGCTAAATTGGGTTTCAGCCCATTAGCCTACAACAGTCCATAAATAGGAAATCATAATCATATTCTATTTCCTCTTCTGCTGAGATTCCTAATTTTACTCAAACTATTAAACTTAATCTGATAAAGTCAAGAAATTATATTTCTTTCTTGATAGAGATTATCTCCCAAAAGAGGACTCAGTGTTCTACTAGAATTCAAACCTCTTGGGTTCACTATAAAATCAGAGGCTTGCCCTCTCATTGGGGGGAATCTCCCATAGTCAATCTACACTACTCAAAACCATCTATTTACTCTTAAAGTTCTTGCTCCCAAGAACCCGACGCCTCCACTATAGTCCTAGCTTCCGACAAGACTCCTGGTAATTCTTTATCTTTTTAATTCTTGTCAAATAATCTCTTTCAGCCTTACTGACTTGAGCGTTGGAGTGCCTACGGCAAAAACAACCTCGGTATTTTCCGGAAGCTTCACGCTTGTCCTTTCATGTGTGCAGGTCTAGCGGATTGTCAGTGGCCTCAACCTCATGAGATCAGACCCTATTTTCATGACGGTAGATTTTTTGCATCTACAGTTTGACACCCACCGTGGGGCCCTGACAATCATCCATCCACAAACGATTTGCAACATGAGAGGAGGCACAAAACTCCCTTTGACTGACATCAAAGTTCCATCACAATAAGAAATATTTTTTTTCTCTACTTTTCTTCATTTGTTTTATTCATTCACATATCATATTATATTTGTTCAACATGAAACAAAGTATTATGAAGCGTTAAGAATCGTCTCCCGTGTTTATTATTTGTTCATGCGCTACTTTAAAACTTTGAGCACCTAATACACATCTCTCCTCCCTCATTAAATTTATTAGGTTGTGCCTGACATTAGAGAAGCTACTTGAGGAAGGCCTTGATGTTTGTTTTAGAGGCTAAAATTTTAAAAGGGCCTGGTGTTTCAACAAATAAAAGCTTGGCAGCCAGCACGGCTTTCCTGCCATCTCTTGTATCATATCAGCCTGACTGTTTTCCTCCAAAACCCTACTCTGTCACGCTAATCACACTGTACCGAGTGACTTATTTCTCTCCTCCAACAACACAACCTAACCCAACTGCCCTTCTCACCAGTAAGCCTTTCTTAAGAAACCATTTCCACATCTCAATGCTTCTCATTACTCATCCAACGTTTCCAGAGTAAAATCACATTTGTAGTCTTCTTAGTATCTGGTACGCAGTTATCTGTTATGCTGCCTCCCTAGACCCAATCATAAGGAAAGGAAAAATTGATCCTTTTTATAAAATTATGCAATTAGAATCGTTTCTGTTAACTCAGGCATCCACTGACAAAAAGGCTTTTCCACCGATTGACACGAGTCTTTCCTAAGATTTGTAACGGGCATTTTTAAACTCTTTTTTCATATCTCCTTCACTCTCAACTCTCCATTCTGTTTTGCTCAACATGAATGCACTTTCCCTTTTCCTTTTCTACTTCTTCAGATTAACAATGCTTTTGCCGGAGCCGATCATGGCACTTCATACACCATGCCACGGACTGATTTCTTCCACCCCTTCCTTATCAACATATAACGCTAACCACTTCTTCTCGCCGTCTCCTTCACCATCAACGTTGATTTCTGCCCCAATTTACTGAGAATTCCAGTTCAAATCCATTCACCATCACTTCTTCTCGCCGTCCCCTTCACCATCGACAGTAGTTTCTACTCCAGTTTGTAGAACATTCCAGTCAAAACCCGTTCACAACCGCTGGCCATTTTCTCACGACACTCTACCAGTCACCGACCCAAATCTCCCACGACTCTGCTTGGCAAACATGAAGCTAACCGACTTAGCCACAAACAAGCTACCTCAAGCTCGCTTGGCTACTCTCGAGTTAGTCACTAGTATGCTAAGACCTCTTATTAGAGCCTCACGATATGACTCTTCACTCGGCTCGACAAAAGTGCACTCTTGTGTCTGGAAGACCACCAACTTTCACAGCCAAATAAAAGACTCCTGCTTGCTTCCAACCAGCTTCACTTGGCTACATGAGATGTCAAACTCATCAGTCGGTAAGCATCCTCCATTCGGCATCTCAAGAAGAGTCAAGCAAAAGGTATTTCTCATTACAACTCAACATATGTCAAGCACCACAACATGACAAGTACTGTAGACACTCCTATTCGACCAACATCTCTCACTGGCAACGTGAGCCAAGTCAACTTGTATGGAGCATTCAACATGTGATGCAACTGCTTGTTTGAATTTCTTACATTTCTCAACATGGGGGACATTACTCGCTCCAATATGATGGACGAATGGTTTTTGTACGGTTGGAATTCCCCATTTGGTTTAACCATCTCCATTTGGCTCATCCACTCCATTAGTATTTTCTCTCTCTTTAACCTATTACTCATATGCTTTATTATATACGCACACCATGCTGCCATGCATATTATTTCTCCCTATGACTTATTCGGTTGACTTAGTTTACTATTGATAAATGTGCTCCACGCATGTCATTCTTCCATTTAAGTTTTATTTTTCATTTGGTCTTACACAAGCATGAATCACTTCTCCATTCAGCCATGAGTTTGTTTGACTTATTACTTCTCCATATTAGCATATTCTTAATTTGGTCTACTGTTACACATGCATGCCATTACTTTTCTTATTCAATTTATTGTGGATAGCAGTACACCATGCAGGATACCATATGAAGTTGTTTTAAATCGTCTACTGTGATCACCGTTAATCGGCCCAGACCGATTTATTGATTTACACCTTTGATCGGCCTAGACTGATTCATAAGTTTATGCTTTCTATCGGCCGAGACCGATTCATAAGTTTACACCTTCGATTGGCCCAGACCGATGCATAAGTGTACACCTTCGGTCCAGACCGATTCATAAGTTTATGCCTTCGATCGGCCTAGACCGATTCATAAGTTTACGCCTTCGATCAACCCAGGCCGATTCATAAGTTTACACCTTCGATCGGCCCAGACCGATCCATAACTTTAGCCTAGACCGATCCATAAGTTTACACCTTCGATCGGCCTAGACCAATGCATAAGTCTACACCTCAGATCGGCTGTCGAACCGATCGTCACGGCCACAAAATAAAACCTAAATATCATAGTTAGCAATAAGTAGGGTCGAATCCACAGAGAGCAAGACTAATGACCTAATGTATATTTGAGTTAACGAAAGAGAAATTGGCAAAATGATTGATTAAAACTAAGGAAACTAATTAATTCCAGGAAATTAAAAGCATCAAATAAATTGCTAACTAAAACACAATATTAAAAGCGTTGCCGCTACGGGTTTGATTTGACTCAAGAACAACTCTCACAATTCCTCTCCTCGCTCTTCAATTTTCTAAACCTACAAGGTTAAACAAATCAATAAAAATATCTCCCAACAATCTAGGTATAATCTATCCTGTCTCCCTGTCGTCTTAGTTACAAATTGATTGGTTAAAGAATATCATTGACTAACCGAAAAATGCTAAACCCTTAAACACCATTAGTTGGTACAACGTTAACAAGTACAACCTATCAACTTATATCATCCAATCAACTAATTACACAACAAATGCATTCCCAATAGAAATGATATTAAATGCTAATACAACTTGATTGTAATCAGTACCGAAGCAGTTTAAAGTCATAATCAACATTCAATAATCTCAAACCAACATTCAATTATGCAAAAAGTTATATATCAACAAACGTTCTCAATGGACATTATCAATTCAGTACGTCGAGCATTAGAACAATATTAAAGCATCGCAAACAAACTGAAACAAAAACAAATATAATTTGAATACAAGAAACTTAACCAAATGTCCAACATTCAGGCTCATCCAACTAGTCAAGAGCTGATGGGGAGACCAATGGAGTCAATCCCGATCTTGCCTATGCCGTAACAGACAACCGGGAACTCAGCCGCTCATGGTGGTGATGATGGAGGCTGAAGTGGTGGAAACGAAGCTAATCATGGTGGAGAGGAAGTAACCGACAGTGATATGATATGAAGAAGGGGCGAAAACGACTAACGGACAGCCTGGAATACTAACAGTCGCACTCGCTAGAAAACGTTAATTTTTTGACAGGTCTTCTGGAAAATGGTGGCAGAAATGAGATCCGAAGGTACCGATGGAAAGCTCTAGTGATGGGGAGTTCATATTAGGTCTTGGGGAGATGAAAGGTCGTCGAAAATGAGCGAGATCGTGGCTGGAAGATGAAGAGGCACGGCAGCGATTTTGCGGATTCCAGCGGTTTTTGCGGCGGCTGAACCTTGGATTAGATAGATCCGACCGTGGGGAAGGAAGATCAGCCACCAAGGAGCCCAACCGTCATCGAAAAATGTCAAAATTATGGCTGGAATGCGAAGAGTCGCAGTTGGAAGATGGAATGTCGCGATGGCAGTGATGGTTATCACGGTGCTGATCTGGGACGATGGAGATGATAGGTGCAAGTGGAATACGAAAGGTCGTCGGAGCTCGCCAGAATATGATTGGAGAAGGTGAAGGGTTTTGGTGGGCGGCAGCCACCCAATCTTCGACCATGTGCTGCATTTTTATACAAAATATGGTCAATTTTATTTAGTCCCTATATGATTGAAAAGTGACAAAATCAACCTCTAGAACATGACATTTTACCCCCTAAACAGCATAAATGAGACAAAATCACCCCTAATCCATAAACCACAACCTAATATCAACTCACACCAATTCCAAATTCATCCCAAATATGCTAAATTAGTAAGAAAAACTCAAAATATGATTTTTATACATAAATTCATAAGTTCTCTTAATTGTCTCAATATAACTTCAATTCAATTACATATGAGATCTTTTTATCAATGAAATAGAGTCACTTTCATGACTCTAGCATCGGCCTAGACCGATTCAGAAGTTTACGCCTTCAATCGGATCAAACCGATTCATAAGTTTACACATTCAATCGGCCTGAATTGATTTATATATTTACACCTTCAATCGGCCCGAACCGATTTATATATTTACACCTTCAATCAGCCTAGACCGATTTATAGATTTACACATTCAATTGGCCCAGACCGATTGAAGGACTTTGCACCTCAAATCAACAAGTCATCGACCCAATCCACACAACGGTCCATCCGACCTAACGAGCTGCTATCACTAATCCGCTCAGTCTGCACTCATTCGATTAAATCTACTCTCTAAACTAAATACTCTTTAACTTAGAGAGTGGGGGGCTAACTGTTAGGGCTAAAAATTGTCTTGAGCTTAACGAGGCCCAATAACGAAATAAACATGTCACGGCCCAAGGCCTTAGCCCAATCCCGATTAGGCCTACGCTTAAAATCACCTTGTGAACTACCCACTCTATGAGTTAGGCTATCCTATAAGTTAGGGTCTGCTTGGGAGTTTTTTTTTCATTGGTTTTGAGGGGTTTTTAATTAGACTAGTTTTGAGGTGTTTAAAAACCATTACTTGCCAGATTTTTGATGGACTGGTTTTGACTGGTTTAAAAAACCCCTTAAAACCAGTGTAGTGTATTTTTAAGGGGTTTATAAAATACCCCAAATCGAGGTGTTTTGGCTAGTTTTTAATTTTTATCCCAAAAAAACACATTTCCACTATTAATAATCCCTTTTGCTGCTAAAAAAAAAGGTCACAGAATAGATGTGCTTGATCCCTCACTCTTCTTCTTATCTGCTATCGGAGTTTCTTTTTTATCAACAGAACCTAAACTTGAACCAGCTTTTAAACCTGAGGTGGCGTTTTGTTTTTTGTTACTAGGAGGAGAAGTGGTATTATTAGTATTGGTTGTTGGATTTCTATTGCTTCTTGCACCAGTCGTTACAGCTTTCTCTTCTGTTTTGACCTTTAATAAGCTACTGCTTCATTCTACAGAGGGCTGCTTTATATCAGTAGGCGGCTTCTTGTCATTAGTTTATTGTTGTTGTTGTCGAGCAAATGTAGAAGCAGTGTAAGGTTTAGTTGAAACAGAACTGTGTTTACGACAGACAATAATGGGAGTAGATTGTTTATGTTTAGCAAGCAATGAATCAAATCTTTCAAGGTGGTGTTTCAATTGTGGTGGTAACGAAGCAAGAGCAGGTGGTAGTAGTGGTTCTTGTGAAGAATCAGACCTGTAATTTTATTTCTTAATCTCATTAGAGAAAAGATTACGAAGCTGAAAAAACACTCAGACTTGATATTTTGCACTTTTTGTTAGGCTTTTGTTATGGACATATATGTAAATTTATCATTTTAAAAAACTGTCAGAATCGTTGGAAAATAAACTCCCAAACACAGGTTGAGTGTTTTAAAAACCGCTACTAAAAACCTCTCAAAACCGCTACGAAAGTTTATCTTCAAAACCGCTACGATAGTTTACCCTCATAACCGCTACCATAAAACTCCCAAACAGACCCTTAAGCTAAAGTGGGTTTTAGCCCATTAGCCTGCAACAGTCCATAAATAGGAAATCATAATTATTTTCTATTTCCTCTTCTGCTGAGATTCCTAATCTTACTCAAACTATTAAACTTAATCTGATAAAGTCAAGAAATCATATTTTTTTCTTGATAGGGATTATCTCCCAAAAGAGGACTTAGTGTCCTACTAGGATTCCAACCCCTTCGGTTCACTATAAAAACAGAGGCTTGCCCTCTCATAGGGGGGAATCTCTCATAGTCAATCTACACTACTCAAAACCATCTATTTGCTCCTAAAGTTCTTGCTCCCAAGAACCTGGTGCCTCCACCGTAGTCCTAGCTTCCGACAAGACTCCTGGTAATTCTTCATCTCCTTAATTCTTGTCAAATAATCTCTTTCAGCCTTGCTGACTTTAGCATTGGAGTGCCTATGGAAAACGCCACCCCGGTGTTTTTCGGAAGCTTCACGCTTGTCCTTTCATGTGTAGGTGTAGCGGCTTGTCAGTGACCTCAACCTCACAGGATCAAACCCTATTTTCGTGATGGTAGATTTTTTGCATCTACAAAACTCATTTATTAAACTCAACAAAAACTCATAGTTTATGATTTTTCATCAATTAAGAAAGTTAAAAGAAAAGATTTTTAAGAAAAAAAAAAGCATCATTTTATTTTGTAATCTCTAAAGGAATAATCTTTCTTAAGTAATCCAATCAAAGAAAAAAGAAAGTATGAGAAAGAAAGAGAGTAAACGAAAAAGATAGAAAGTGTAAAAAAGTGTTAATTTAAATTTTTGTGAGGTCAAAATTGTAAATTTTATAATATATAAGGACTGTTTTAACTTTTTTTTTAAAGTTGAGTGAGTTCAATTGAACTTGTCTTAACTTCTTAAGCTTTCATGAAGGGTCCGTGTAACAGGCTTTGGTCAATGACTCCTAAACCAAATGACTATA